TCGACCTGCATGTTTAATTAAAGGCTTAAACAACCACGCATCCATCAAAATCTCATTTTTGTGACGGAAATCGATGGTCTATAAAGTGCGTTGAAGATACTTCCACATCGTTGGTGTTTGATCCGAGTTGATAGCATGCCGTTCTTCATACAAAAGCGTATTGAACTGCAAACATAACCTGTCAGTATTGCTGAAGAGGCATCCGACCATGGTTGTGATCTTCTGTTCTTCTATACAATAACTCTGCAATTGTTAAAATGATAAGGTGATACAGTCTATTCAATATTGAAAAGGCATACAGAATGTTAAATATGAAATGTTAGAAAGAAAACCTATCCGCCATCACTGTGAAATATACATCGCCACAATCTGAAATACGTATTTGATACACTATAGTACATATTGACATTTCTGAAATTCTTGTTGAAGAACTCTGAATATGCATCGACACACTATCATATACAATTGACACTCTGAAACTTTTATTGACACACATCGACACATTATCATATACAATTGACACTCTGAAACTGTTATTGACACACATCGACACATTATCATATACAATTGACCCTCTGAAACTATTATTGACACACAACGACACACTATCATATACATCTGACACGCTGAAACTGTTATTGACACACCTCGACACACTATCATCTACAATTGACACTCTGAAACTTTTATTGACACACAACGACACATTATCAGATACAATTGACACTCTGAAACTGTTATTTACACACATCGACACACTATCATCTACAATTGACAATCCGAAACTGTTAATGACACACATCGACACACTATCATCTACAATTGACACTCTGAAACTATTATTGACGCACATCGACACACTATCATATACATCTGACACTCCGAAACTGTTATTGACACACATTGACACACTTTCGTATACAATTGACCCTCTGAAACTGTTATTGACACATATTGACACACTATCATATAGAATTGACACTCTGAAACTATTATTGACACACAACGACACACTATCATATACATCTGACACGCTGAAACTGTTATTGACACACCTCGACACACTATCATCTACAATTGACAATCTGAAACTGTTAATGGCACACGTCGACACACTATCATATACAATTGACTCTCTGAAACTGTTATTGACACATATTGACCCACTATCATATACAATTGACACTCTGAAACTGTTATTGACACATATTGACACACTATCATATACAATTGACACTCTGAAACTATTATTGACACACATCGACACACTATCATATACATCTGACACTCTGAAACTGTTATTGACACACATTGACACACTATCATATACAATTGACACTCTGAAACTATTATTGACACACATCGACACACTATCATATACAATTGACACTCTGAAACTATTATTGACACACATTGACACAATATCATATACAATTGACACCCTGAACTGTTATTGATACACTATCATATACATTTGACACTCTGAAACTGTTATTGACACACATTGACACACTATCATATACAATTGACACTCTGAAACTGTTATTGACACACATTGATACACTATCATATACGATTGACACCCTGAATGTTATTGACACACATTGACACACTATCATATACAATTGACACTCTGAAACTGTTATTGACACACATCGACACGCGAACGAATAAGCATTGGAGTACTTTTAGGTACATATTGAATGACTGTGTTGTACATGTTGACAGACTGTGTAGTACATGTTGACAGACTGTGAAGTACATGTTGACAGACTGTGTAGTATATGTTGACAGACTGTAGTACATGTTGACAGACTGTGTAGTACATGTTGACAGACTGTGAAGTACATGTTGACAGACTGTGTAGTACATGTTGACAGACTGTGTAGTACATGTTGACAGACTGTGAAGAACATATTGACAGACTGTGTAGTACATGTTGACAGACTGTGAAGTACATATTGACAGACTGTGTAGTACATGTTGACAGACTGTGAAGTACATATTGACAGACTGTGTAGTACATGTTGACAGACTGTGAAGTACATATTGACAGACTGTGTAGTACATGTTGACAGACTGTGAAGTACATATTGACAGACTGTGTAGTACATGTTGACAGACTGTGTAGTACATATTGACAGACTGTGTAGTACATGTTGACAGACTGTGAAGTACATGTTGACAGACTGTGTAGTACATGTTGACAGACTGTGTAGTACATGTTGACAGACTGTGTAGTACATGTTGACAGACTGTGTAGTACATGTTGACAGACTGTGTAGTACATGTTGACAGACTGTGTAGTACATGTTGACAGACTGTGTAGTACATGTTGACAGACTGTGTAGTACATGTTGACAGACTGTGTAGTACATGTTGACAGACTGTGTAGTACATGTTGACAGACTGTGTAGTACATGTTGACAGACTGTGTAGTACATGTTGACAGACTGTGAAGTACATGTTGACAGACTGTGTAGTACATGTTGACAGACTGTGAAGTACATATTGACAGACTGTAGTACATGTTGACAGACTGTGAAGTACATGTTGACAGACTGTGTAGTACATGTTGACAGACTGTGTAGTATATGTTGACAGACTGTAGTACATGTTGACAGACTGTGTAGTACATGTTGACAGACTGTGTAGTACATTTTGACCTACTCTTTGATATATATATTGATACTAGCTTAAAATATATTGAAATACATTATGACAATATCAAATAAATATTGAAAACTCTAAAAGAATGTTGACACTTTTAAATATATTATGACACTAATAGATAAAATAATGATATTCTGAAACACATCGTATAATGAGTCTATTATATAAACATTGATACTCTACAACACAATTTGATCCTGAGATACATATTAACATACTGTTTAATATATAATGATACGCCCTAAATACATACTTACCATTAATAAATATTTTCAAACCTTGGAATACATATTGACACCCTATGTAATATATATGGAAATTTTACGAAATACATATTAACACTATGAATTACATATTGACACTCTTTAATACATAATTGAGTTATTAACTAAAATACTGACACACTAAGATACATACTGACACACTAAGATACATACTGACACTATGGGATAAATGTTGACACACTATGTACATATCTTCAATAAGATTCATCAGTTTGGAAATATGTGATTTACAAGTTTTACTTTCTACACAAACAATGTACGTATTAAACGTGTCGCAACGTTTCAAAACCGACCAGTCCCTTTGTCAAGGTATGACGGAGGGGGCTATTTGTATCATTTACCTGTACAACGATGTGACGAAATTATAAATTTTGTATGTCACTCGACCCGGGACGTTTCGCCTATCGATAGGGAGCGTATACACTATGTGCATACTGCCAACGCGAACATACTTTTACCGTGAAGAGCTTAAGGAGTCATTGTAGGAATTTTACATCTAACGGTATCTAAAACATCACATGACTGTTATTGTTTGCCAAACGTGCTATTAATTGACGTCTGAAACCAGTGTAGCGAGATCCAACCATTTTGCTGCTGTCAGCGTGAACCTGATATTAGTTCATGACGATCCGTTCAAATTGTGAAACACAATCCCTTTATATTAGACTCTCGTTTGATATCGATTTAAATAGAACGATTACATGAGACACAAATGAATATAGATCGAGACGCGTGACTGCAATAAATAGGAATACAAGTGTAAACGATACTTGTCTGATGAAAGGTCGATATGTGAATCTCTAACATTACGAATCAAGGGTAAATTGTAGCATCACGATCTGTACATAACATTGTGGAAAGCATTCCTTTGATAAATGGAACAGATTACCTCCCTTTCCAATAAGGGTTTTACGTATTAATATTTTAATTGGATATCATTCAGGAGTATTCTGCTCTTTGTGATTTATCCGCAGTCAATTAACGTATCGCACGTACTAAAACTTTATCTGTTTAAATTTAGTATATAAACCTGCTACATAAATCGTGAACCTCAGAACTCGCTTGTTCAACTTCTTGTTGAAGTACCTCTAGACGTCGTACCTAAAAAGTGTCAATTAATTGAAAACGTACCTCATATTTTCCTCTGTTTAGATCGCTCAATGAACATTTCTACGTCATAGGAAATCTTTCAAATATGTCAAAATTAACCACCTGATTGCCACATGGTCAAATACATTACATACATAGCTTTATATACCAATAATTATCACATATATGTGGATTCGGTGCCCACTAGACCAGGTAACATGCATAGAGTAGGCTGCTATTTAAAATTTATTGAATATATTTAAAACTTTATTTCATAGAATGTTCGAGACGACTGAGGTTCAAGTCCCAGATCGGTCATGGAAATGAATAAGTCGCCTGACCGACCGTGTGGATTTATCTCTTGGGGACTCCGGCTTCCTCACACATTAAGACCACCATACATAAATTGTGAAAACATTTTTTTTGTAATTGCTTTAAAATAAAGTTATTTAAAAAAATGTAACACTGACTCCTAGGGACCGGTCTAATTAGTTATGTTCAAAATGAATATTCGTGAGTATTTGACAAAGTAATGATGCTATATAGTCATTCATAGAGTACTAAACAGAAAATAGGGTGCTTGTAAGTTTTATTTAATAAAAAAAACGCGCTTCATATTAGTAGTATATATAATTTAATGCTATTCAAATCTTGTTAATTACCGCTTACCATTGTAGTAATTGTAGCGTTCAGCCATAGGATGATGCTGGATGAACCGGATTTAACCACATGTGTACAAAGTACAAACAGCACCATTGAAGGTCTCACATGGAACTTCCGGTTTATTTACATTCACTGCGCATGTCAAATACAATATACTTAAAGGATGCTGGCACATCACTACAGTAATTAAACCAGGTTTTTCAGTCAAACCATGCAATATGTATAGTACACTGATTGTTTTCATGTGGTATCGATTATATAATATCATTTGTGAGAGGTGTCTGTCTACAGATCCTTGCACTTTGACCTCCCCATGCCAAAATGGCGCCACATGCAACAATCCCTCATCCAATGTCTACACCTGTACGTGTCCAACCGGATACAGTGGATCAGACTGCGAAAATACGTGTGAGTATTAACCATTCATTATCAATACATGTCCTCCAATGCAAGTACGTGCGCTACAACGCCACCGTATGATTGAAAGAGCTAACTTAATGGCACTGTTTCCTCTCAGCAGAATATGGCATTTTCGTACCTTCAGAGGAGACATTTGATGAGATAACGATTGAATTGTTAATTCATAGCAATTCTTGCAATTTTTTAATGTCCCGTTTCTGTTGACCCGCGAATCACATAATCCTACAGTAATTTGAAAAAACGAAACAAACACTCAAATGCATATCATAGTGCTGGACGCTGTATTACCTTATTATAGATTTAGGGAAACAAATGGACCAATTTATAAAACTTAAAAAGTGAGTGTAGTTATTTTACCTGAATGGCTGCTACAAATAACTAAAATGTTGTATTTTATATATTGTTTAAAGTACCATGTGACCTTGGAACGCCTTGTCAGAACGGTGGAACATGTCAACCAGTAGGGTTTAATTACACCTGCGCATGTGCAAGCGGATACAGCGGAACCAATTGTCAATTGTCAGGTAATATAAATAAATATTTAGGAAATGAAATGAAAATGTGTTCTTATATGTATTTTATATATATTATTTTTAAATCATCATAGTAGTTAGCTAAATGACACAAGCAAAACATTAAATTAAACTTCCATATTGCAGATCCGTGTATTCTGACGTCACCATGTCAGAATGGAGCCACGTGCGCCAATCCCTCCTCCGGAAACTACATGTGCACATGCGTGAATGGCTATAGTGGAACAGACTGTGAAAATAAACGTAAGATTATAAAGAGAATACTTTTGAAATGTAGTATATATACTTAGTTCTAATTACTGTAACCCTGATTACTTAAGTACACTCACATTTCCGTGTATGCATATAAACCCTACCACGATCTCGCCTCGGAGAGGCAAAATAATAGGATAGGAGGCGGGCATCTAAGATAATCTTAAACATCCTGTACAGTGGTAAAAATACGATGATTTTGAATTGGGCGGTTATCATAGTTTAGCGCTTCCAAAAAACCACAAAAGCGCTAATATATGATAATAAAATCTCTATATCAACGGTACATGTATGTCTAATAATTATATTTTCAACCACAGAACTATGTGTTTCACGTTCTAATAATAAAGGTGGAGATGTATGGTTAAGGTAAAATTTCGGAAAAGATGTCTAGGATTTTGGTTATTGGAAAGGGTAGTCAAGGTGTTTCGACCAATGTAAGGTGTCTAAGATTTAGGTTATTGGGTAGTCAAGGTGTTACGGTCAATGTAAGGTGTCTAAGATTTAGGTTATTGGGTAGTCACGGTGTAACGGTCAATGTAAGGTGTCTATGATTTAGGTTATTGGGTAGTCAAGGTGTTACGGCCAATGTAAGGTGTCTATGATTTAGGTTATTGGGTAGTCAAGGTGTAACGGTCAATGTAAGGTGTCTAAGATTTAGGTTATTGGGTAGTCAAGATGTTACGGCCAATGTAAGGTGTCTAAGATTTAGGTTATTGGGTAGTCAAGGTGTAACGGTCAATGTAAGGTGTCTAAGATTTAGGTTATTGGGTAGTCAAGGTGTTACGGCCAATGTAAGGTGTCTAAGATTTAGGTTATTGGGTAGTCAAGGTGTAACGGTCAATGTAAGGTGTCTAAGATTTAGGTTATTGGGTAGTCAAGGTGTTACGGCCAATGTAAGGTGTCTAAGATTTAGGTTATTGGGTAGTCAAGGTGTAACGGCCAATGTAAGGTGTCTAAGATTTAGGTTATTGGGTAGTCAAGGTGTTACGGCCAATGTAAGGTGTCTAAGATTTAGGTTATTGGGTAGTCAAGGTGTTACGGCCAATGTAAGGTGTCTAAGATTTAGGTTATTGGGTAGTCAAGGTGTTACGGCCAATGTAAGGTGTCTAAGATTTAGGTTATTGGGTAGTCAAGGTGTTACGGCCAATGTAAGGTGTCTAAGATTTAGGTTATTGGGTAGTCAAGGTGTTACGGCCAATGTAAGGTGTCTAAGATTTAGGTTATTGGGTAGTCAAGGTGTTACGGCCAATGTAAGGTGTCTAAGATTTAGGTTATTGGGTAGTCAAGGTGTTACGGCCAATGTAAGGTGTCTAAGATTTAGGTTATTGGGTAGTCAAGGTGTTACGGCCAATGTAAGGTGTCTAAGATTTAGGTTATTGGGTAGTCAAGGTGTTACGGCCAATGTAAGGTGTCTAAGATTTAGGTTATTGGGTAGTCAAGGTGTTACGGCCAATGTAAGGTGTCTAAGATTTAGGTTATTGGGTAGTCAAGGTGTTACGGCCAATGTAAGGTGTCTAAGATTTAGGTTATTGGGTAGTCAAGGTGTTACGGCCAATGTAAGGTGTCTAAGATTTAGGTTATTGGGTAGTCAAGGTGTTACGGCCAATGTAAGGTGTCTAAGATTTAGGTTATTGGGTAGTCAAGGTGTAACGGCCAATGTAAGGTGTCTAAGATTTAGGTTATTGGGTAGTCAAGGTGTTACGGCCAATGTAAGGTGTCTAAGATTTAGGTTATTGGGTAGTCAAGGTGTTACGGCCAATGTAAGGTGTCTAAGATTTAGGTTATTGGGTAGTCAAGGTGTTACGGCCAATGTAAGGTGTCTAAGATTTAGGTTATTGGGTAGTCAAGGTGTTACGGCCAATGTAAGGTGTCTAAGATTTAGGTTATTGGGTAGTCAAGGTGTTACGGCCAATGTAAGGTGTCTAAGATTTAGGTTATTGGGTAGTCAAGGTGTTACGGCCAATGTAAGGTGTCTAAGATTTAGGTTATTGGGTAGTCAAGGTGTTACGGCCAATGTAAGGTGTCTAAGATTTAGGTTATTGGGTAGTCAAGGTGTTACGGCCAATGTAAGGTGTCTAAGATTTAGGTTATTGGGTAGTCAAGGTGTTACGGCCAATGTAAGGTGTCTAAGATTTAGGTTATTGGGTAGTCAAGGTGTTACGGCCAATGTAAGGTGTCTAAGATTTAGGTTATTGGGTAGTCAAGGTGTAACGGCCAATGTAAGGTGTCTAAGATTTAGGTTATTGGGTAGTCAAGGTGTTACGGCCAATGTAAGGTGTCTAAGATTTAGGTTATTGGGTAGTCAAGGTGTTACGGCCAATGTAAGGTGTCTATGATTTAGGTTATTGGGTAGTCAAGGTGTTACGGCCAATGTAAGGTGTCTATGATTTAGGTTATTGGGTAGTCAAGGTGTTACGGCCAATGTAAGGTGTGAGGGAGGAAGTAAAGATATCGGCGGTTGGGGAAGGATTTCAAAATACACTGTCAATGTAAAGAGGACTCAAAGACGTATTGTCAAAGTAAATGGGAACTAAAGGATGAACAGTTAATGTTAGGGAGTGACAAAGATATATGTCAGGTATTGTAAAAAGGGTTTTCTGGGAGAATGTTTTCAACAAGATATGATTCTTGCATTGGGATGCTTTTAAGGGTGTCAAGAACATGGTCAATGTTAGGAGGACTCAAAGACGTATTGTCAAAGTAAAGGGGAACTAAAGGATGCTCATTAATGTAAGGGAGTGACAACGATGTATATCATGGATAGTAAAAAGGGTTTTCGGGGAGGATGTTTTCAACAAGATATGATTATTGCATTGGGATGTCAGAGATGTATTAAACGTTAGGATTATAGATGATATGTTTGCTGCGGGGATTGGATACTGTTTCGGTTGTTACAACATACCTAGGTCTGTCGTTATGTGACACCTAGATTTCTGTTGCTGCATGTAACTGTAGAGGGATTTGTAAATATCTTTTCGTATAAACCAAGATCCTTATCAATGAAGGAATATAACAATAATCTGATGATCCCACTATCCAGGCAGAGTATTTGGGGGTGTTTCGATTCGAATGTATTTTATGAGAAAGAAAGTGGGATAAATTCACACTTGACGGACTATTTATAAGATGTACGTTTGTGTTAAAAATAGTCTAATACTATCAGAGATACGATGTATTATTGTTAATGTTTCATAGACTTTGTGAAGCCTGCCGATGACCAAATGACATAACTTTTATGTTTGTCTTACAGTACCCTGCATCATCGATGTACCTTGTCAGAATGGTGGTACCTGTCAGCCATCTGGATTTACTTACACATGCGCATGCGTGTCGGGATACAGCGACACAAACTGTAGTTATAAAGGTATAGATATATCAAAATATATCATACATGGTACTTTAAAGTCGCATAAAGCAAAAATATGAAAACATGTTTCTCTGTTGATGTTTTATTTTGGTGCTTTTGAAGTACTTTAAACTTTACCTGACGTGTAGGCCTATATGTACTTAGTTTCAAACAAAAGAACAATCTGTCTTCTCTCACGCTTCACAGGTGTATTCTCGTTTTTGAAGAGATTAATAGATTCTTAAAGCCCCGTGCTAGACAGTCAAACTCCGAAAGTTAAGGATCGTGTGAAGATACGTCTCGCTACATCACACAAGAGGAATAACAACAATTTGCTAATATTATTTGTATATCCATGAACGTTACTTGTTATACTTAATAGTGTGTTATATCTTACTCAAAAGATTCCTGTATCGTCGACATTCCTTGTCAGAACGGAGCGACTTGCGCAAACCCCTCTTCCGGTACATACGCGTGTTCATGTACTTCCGGTTACAGTGGTGGAGACTGTGAAAGTGAACGTAAGTATGAAAGATTTAAGTACGAAGTAAACTGAATAAGTTCAAAATTAATTTATTGCATTGTGTTTTCATTCACTGTCTTAATATCCTGGTTGTTGTTATTTCATCAAAATTGTTCATGGCTATCTTACAATTGTTTACCTACCTTTTCCAGTACCTTGTGTATTGTCAAATCCCTGTCAGAACGGAGGAACATGCCAACCTTCCGGTTTGACGTATTCTTGCGCATGTGCAAATGGATACAGCGATACCAATTGCTCTTGGTCAGGTAATGGCTCTTTCGTCATTTATAGCGCTGAAGTCTTTTTATTATATGTTCCAAGACCAACTTAATGCTGCTTAGTGACAGTAAAATATCCAGTTCGACATTAGGTATAACAGATCGTTAACAATGCAACACGTTCGTGATTTTTATCGAAAATATTGTATCCGAAAAAGATGTTAAAAAAAGGGCCAGATGTAACTTCAAACAACAATCGTTTTTATTGTAAATTGTCCGTCTGTATGTCGTCAAAGGTAAAATTCGACGTAGGAGGAATACGGTATGTGTGTGTATGATATCAGCGCTATGACCTTTCTCATTATTCAGATCCGTGCACCTTAGCTCCACCTTGCACAAACGGAGGCACGTGCAGTAACACGGCTAGTGGTGTGTACTCTTGTAGTTGTGCTGCTGGTTACTATGGAAACGAATGTCAAAATACAGGTATGGCATACAACAAAGAGGTGCGTTACACCAAAGAGTCGTAAACTAATCATTTCAGAATATATATTGAAAACATATGTGGAAATTAACTAATTTTTCTAGTTTTTGTTTGTCCTGAAGTTAATCATGAATCTATATACATGTACACTTTGTCATAGATTTATTGATTTCAATATTTTTAGTAATTAATTTGGTCCCCAATCATTCAGACAATTTACTATCTGTGTCTGCTTTAATTTTAATACGGGTCAGGTAGAAAATTTCATATTCTTTCAAAACAGACACTTTTGTTATTGCTTGGTTATTTTGTAACTTCTACTTTTATATTAAAATGTGTAAAGTGCAAAATGCTTCAGCGATGTGTAATATTGACAGTTTTTACATTGCACCAAAATGTGGAAACTGTAACAACAGAACACAAAAAATAGTGAATGGAAGTCTTCCTCTTAAGTATTTATTGACAGTTGGTTTTCATTTGTTTAGATCCTTGTATACTGACAAGTCCATGTAATAATGGCGCAACCTGTTCTAACCCATCGTCCGGAAGTTATTCCTGCGCATGCCCTACTGCATACAGTGGAACTACATGCGAAAACGAAGGTAAAGTTTTCCCTTTCTATTTGTCTTCTTTTTATTTTTAGATATGCATAACAGATTAATGTTTCAATAAAAAGGAAAGAAACACAATAATATACAGCGACAATATATAGGAACTCATGTGTTGAGTTTAGAGAGTAAGAAACAAACCATTTATCAAATTTCTGATATATGGTAGTTGTACCTGATGAATGTATTGAATTCTACCTGTACTTTATTCAGTCCCCTGTGTTCTTACCAATCCCTGTGAGAATGGCGGTAGCTGTCAGGCAGTCGGTTCAACGTACCAGTGCGCATGTGCGACCGGATATAGCGGTGACAACTGCACCCACTCCAGTATGTAGGACGAGACAAGCGTGTTTGAATTTCACTTTCTGAGATAAAATTATTAGCATACAAATAGTTTGACCCGGTTACACCAAAATCATACACGATCTTAAACAACGAGTTCCTCTTATTATCAGACCTTTAGGTAAACAGATACAAACGAAGCAGATTATAACCCAGGGGAATGAAAGACATGACCAAAGAGTGTTAATATAGCCAAAATATTCTAGCGGCCTTTGATTGAAAACAATATAATAAATATCAATCAAATTTGTCTACAAATATATGAACAAATAGAGTAAGGAACATGTCCCTCTAGATGGCTGAGAGACAGGACAGAAAGGGCTATAAAAGCCATATTGATATAAGCGTCCTCTCGTCGGAATTTTTGTGATAGATATCAACCATATTTATGAGGTGACAATTGAAAATTACACAAAGAAATCGGCTGATCAGTCTAGATGACTAAGGGGAGTGGCCAAAATCAGAGATAATTTTAAAATGTTTGAAATTCTCCTCTTTATTCATATACAAATCTAGCTCAGTTAAAATTATGTTATTAAACTATGCGTTTCCATCACCTGTCTTGTTTTATAGATCCATGCCAGATCACCGCTCCCTGTCAAAATGGCGCCTCCTGTAGTAATCCGTCCTCCGGATCTTTTAGCTGTTCCTGTGTGACTGGCTATTATGGAACAAACTGTGAAAACAAACGTAAGCAAACCCTTAACAATCATATTTGTTAAGCTGATCTGTTTTGAAAAATGGTTCAAATTTAGTGAATTGAAAGTCAAAAGTAAAAAAATATAACAAATTCTGAAACATTTTTTTTTTTTTTTCATCTTTTTCCAATTTTCTAGACGCAATATGTGGACTAACGTAGCTGCTTATAATTAGTATGTGTATTGATTTTCATGTTTGTTGAGTTTTCTTTGTGTATAATTTTCTTTCTATTATGACAGATTGTTACGGGCTTATTACGTGTCATAGATTTAGTAAGCCGATTTCACTATGTTTTATGAGTTTTGTTCCAACAGGAGCGTGTATATTACCCGTAGTCTGGGACAATAAGTGGTGGGACAGCCAGCATGACAATGACGTCACATTCTCGTTCTCAAGTTCCCAAATATCTGGTTGGTCGGTGACTGTGACGTCATCAACTATCACCTCCTGGACGTGCGTCATTGAGGACACCACGCAGGATATCTTCATTTTCAAGTTTGTAGCTGCTTCTGTAGATTATAGAACATGGGTTTTTATCATAGTTCTCTTTCACATATGGAATGTTTGGATTGAAATTCCGTGTAATTCTTTATTAGGTATTGGGGGAGAGTTGTATTAAAATCATAAACAGTTAAACCATCAAACCAATATTAAACATACTGAATAATTTGGTCGGATACAATATTTTGTCGGAAAGTAGGGGTTAAATGGGCTCGGATATTATTGAAAGATATCCTTAAGTTCTGTAAGGGAAGGTTTCACTCTTTATTAAGATTTTGACATACTTTCAGCTCGGCAATTTATAGGAAAAAAAAGGAACAAATGTAGATTTCAATTTGCTTTAGTAATGTTTAGTTTATAATACTTGCATGTGTCGAGTTTTATTTACGGGAGAGCATTAGGGCCATGCAGAAAAGAAAGAAAAAAATTCGTGTTAAAAACTCGATATTTTCGGGGGAGGTTGGAGTAGAGCGATACCTCCCGAAGCTGTAGGAATATAAATAAATGAATAAACTGGTTTCGCCTAAAGCGCAAAGTCACTTTAGAAGGGTCAAATGACCAATGATTGGAATCTAGAAGCGCTTTGTTAAGAAGTTATTAAGTCGAAATTTCGATTTATGATCTTGATTTCTCGAGTTATTAAGTCGAAATTTTGACTTATTATCTTGAAATTTCGAGTAAGTCAGTCGCAATTTCGCGTAATTCTTTTGAAATTTCGAGTTGTTATCTCGAAATTTTGTTTCATTATCTTTATATTTCTAGTTATTTAATCAAAATTTCGAGTTAATATCTTGAAATTTCGAGTTAGTAAGTCGATTTTTTTTTTTCATTATCATGATATTTCGAGTTAGTAAGTCGAAATTGCGAGTTAGTATCTTGAAATGTCGAGTTAGTAAGTCGAAATTCAGGGTTAGTATCTTGAAATTTCGAGTTATTAACACGAACAAACGAAATTAATTTGTTTTCTACATGGCCCTAATACTCTTCCTTAGACATAATATTATGTTTTATGTAAATTAGTTTTCGCCTTTACAAAAACTACTTAGACTACCACTTTTAATACTTACTTACCTAACTTAAGTCTCTCCGCGCCAGTAGGCGCATAAGGCCTCCGCGCTTTTTAAATACTTTTAACTTTTAATACTACTATTGTGTAATCATTGTGACGTGTACTAGGAGCGACGTCAACGTGACGTTTTCCGGCACCACCTACAGCGCCTTCCTGTGTATGAAGTGGACCAAAGTCACAGACTACTCCTATTTCTACTACCTTTATACAGGTACTGTATTCCTGCTTTGTATCACTACTTCACAGTATATTTAATCGTGTTATTAATCTCATGTTGTTAATCAGACCAATATATTTTCCTTCGGGGATTTTTATTTTCCTTCTCAAAAAATACTTCGCTCTTAAAGGACATTCTGATTGCTTTAACAACACATGACCTGTTGTTACACCTCAAGTGAATTTCTAGCTATTTGATCGGTTGGGAGAAAATTTAACAAAATCTCTGTCACCCTCCGAAAATACATTGGTTTTAAGGGGCGCGGGTGATATTGCCATGAGACAGTGAAAAATATCACATGCACGAAAAATGTGCGTTCACCGCTTCGTTTCCCCACCGTGATGGTCACAAGAACGTTTGACGACAACAGCCAATTTTATCAAGCGCCGGTGCGATAGCGATTGTAAACAGCAGACTATCAACAAACAAGATGTCATTATCGAGGTTTGCTGCCGTTTCTGAGCTACAAAGACTTTTGGTGTAACAAAATAGATATGACATTCATTTGTAGGTGACAGTGAATATTGTCACCCCTCAACCACCCATTGTCACCCGAGGCGAAGCCGAGGGTGACGATGGGTTTCTCGGGTTGACAATATTCACTGTCACCTGCTAATTAATGTCATATTTATATAATGTTTCCTTGCAATGATGAACGCGGTGTGGCAATAGTAACCCTGTTTCAGCAGTATTGTCTAATTTAGGTTCGAATCAATTACTCGACCGCTTGAAAATCACGAATGTGGTTTTCAAAACATCGAACGTTTGACTGAATTTCGTGTCATTGACGTGCTATTGTTGTTTTACTTTGTTTCTATCTCACCAATTCAACACTGTGACATTATTGCAATACTGTGCGTGTGAAATTTACGGATTCAAATGAAATAGGGGTCAACTAGTATCTGTTTGGACGTGTACTAGTGGGTATGCGCGTAGATCCGTTCGTCCTTTTCTCCGGAGTATATCTTGACCACTGTTTTATGGCGGTACCAGATAAAAAAAAAATGCACTTCCAAACACATACAAACAGGGAAATCATCTGTTGATAACGCGCCACATAGCTACAGCTGATATCAAATGAACGCACATAACCCCGCTATATGCAAACATATCTTACCGGATCGTTGATTATTCTAAAGTAACGTCCTTTTATCTTGTTTGTAGATATCAATTCTAATGCAAATAGTTTCCGTGTGTTCCTTGAGGATTCGACTACCACAATGGGTGACGTCACCACGTACTGCGCGGCATCCTCACCTCCTAACAACGAAGAGTTTCATATGCTTGTGAAGCAAGGTAAATTCGTTTTACATTGATATCAACAATTCTTAAACATACTTTTGCTTTATTTTACTTAATATCAGTCATGCCGCTATATAACTATTAGATTAGGTCCGGAGACTTGGCCGGGGGAATCGCGTAGGTCCCTCGTGTGCATCAATACACCTTTCCTAACCACCGGGAACTGACCTTTCATGATCACACGGAATCCCACCGCTGCCACCAAACGTAACATGCGAGCGGTAACCTATCCAACTACTGACCTCGCTAGAAATTGCTGAACTAGTGTGCGGGCCCTCGTGTTATACCGCATCACTGGAAAAGCTAGCTTGCCAGTAAGGCAGTATTTCCCCCTTAATTACCTTAGCTGTTAAACTATTCCCCTCTCTGAGAGGTCGCGTCCGGGAACTGGCCTTACATGATCACACAGAATCCGACTGCTGCCATCAAATGTAACGTGCGAGCGGTAACCCATCCATTTACTGGCCATGCTCGACGTTGCTGAACTAGTGAGTTGGTCCCCGGGTTATAACGCATCACTGGATAAGCTAGCTTGCCTGTAAGGCAGTATTTCCCCCTAAAATAGCCTAGCTGTTACAACATATCGATTAGGCAGTAAACGTTTTTCTCTCTCTCTTTTTTTAAATGAAACAAATGGTCTTATTTATTTCCATAAGTTACATCTTATAATGCATGCAAAAAGGATAAAAAAACAAACGTAAAAAAACTCGTACTAAAGTATTTTTGCTGTTAACAGGATACGAAACTAACTCGAAACAAACGTGTACTACGCCATTCCTCGGTACCTTTACCTACCAGTATAACGACGGCAGCAGCACCTCATGCGGAACCGGAAGTGAGTGGGACGTATGCTCAGACACCTCTATGATGACCTTCAACTATAGCAAATGTTCTACCAACGTGGCCTTTACACGTACGTCTAGTTTCAAAATTGGTGCAGCATATCTTTTATCATATTGAATATATCGTTGTTTCTCTTATATGAGACTTTGCCTTTGAAATAGATCATTTTTTTCTTGATTGATAAAATGAGAGTTTATAAGAAGCCTCTTGAACTGATGATCTCAAAAAGGAAGACAAAGTTGATCAAACGGGGAAATAAATATATATGTTAATCGGATGCTTGAATTGGGTCAAGTCGCCTGTTACAGTGTGCATTTGTTTTTTAACACTTAATGTTGCTTTGTATTGGCAACTCTCTATGGACACATATCGATTTTTTGGGTTTATATATGTGCCTTCATTTCGGGTTTTGTGTTCGCAGAGGAGGGTCAGCTGTATTGTGTGAATTCACTGATTTCCAGCTCCGTGTATTACCAGTCTGCAATCAACCTTGGCGCCGTAGACAATGCCAATTACTTCCGGTTCTCCTGTTTTGTAAGTAAAATGCCTGACGACAACAAACAAACCAAAGTGTAACAGCTAAGTGAGAGAGAACAGTACTACCTTACTGGTAAGCTAGCTTTTGTGGTTATGCTGTATATAGGCAAAACCACACATATGTGTTGATCTGAGTATTCGGATCGCACTCGTTTGTGGCGCGGAGGGAATACTCGTGCTATATTCCTCCGCCACCACAAACTCATGCGATCCGAATACCCAGATCAACACATATGTGTGGTTTTGCTTTTATCACATGACTTAACCCTATTGTAGCCTTCGTAATTAGGAATTTTATCTGATATGACTAAATGCACATTTTATGTTTTTCCTCTTTTTTTCGTTTTCCAATGGCACACAGGTCGACGCAATGCCAGGATTTTTTTTATAAGAAACTTGTGTTTTATTTAAAAAAAATGGCATTCTCTTGGTGTTTTTTTATGATAATGTATTTCTTTTATTTTTATTTAATACCTTCTTTGTATAATTAATGTGTTTTTTTGATAATTCTGAGATATATATTTAGCGGTGTCAGTAGAGGGAATTCCCCTAAAAAGTAGTTCCGGCTAATGTGGTGATACAGGATCTTGTATCGCACATGTGTGATACAAGCAGACAGAAAACACAACTGACAAAATGATGTATTACTATCATAAGATTGCATAGGCATGTGATAACCCGGGGACCCACTCACTAGTTCAGCAACATTGAGCGTGGTCATTAGCTGGATGGGTGATCGCCCGCACGTGACACATGTATCTGTGACCGATAACGATTACGGTTGACGTGCTGTTATACGTTGTGTGATAGCGATGGTCTTGTTAACATATTGGTGTTTTCAGCTAAATTGTAATATCTATAATACATTTTTGTTGTGATATTGCTATATAACATTATATTGGGATACATATGTATTATGATATTGTTATGCTTTGTGATATATTGTAAAAGCGTGATAAATGCAGTATAGTACGTTACCTGCAGTTTACCGGTATTGATTTTAATGTCTTCGTTTCTTATCATTCATTAATGTTTACCGTTACAGGCGGTGACGTCACAAGGGTCAGACATCCAGACGAGTGTCCAGCATGGCAGTTGTGACCGGAGTCAAGTCCCGACCACAGTCCCTTCTGGGGGAGCCAAGGCTACACTCACAGCTACAGGTAAGACAATGTCACTCACATCTACAGGTAAGACAATGTCACTCACATCTGCAGGTAAGACAATGTCACTCACAGCTACAGATAAGACAATGTAGAACATGTCACTGTGATAATAGGAGGTTACAACAGAACGTTAAGTATTTAAATAAGATGCTTCTTAGAGCCACATATTTTCGTAATTATTTGATATGATTTAATGTCAACTGGAGAACATTTGAGTATTAAAATTGGTTTATTGTATGTGCTTTTTTATATTGAAATCAATATTAGTAAATACTATATTTGTTTGTCCTCTTTTTTTTCATGTGAACACGAACAGTAACGTGCAGTAAGTACTTTAGTGTTGTAAATCATTTTTATCGCAATTGTCTCTTTTAAATTTGAAACAATCTTATATACATATCGCTTATATAAAGTGAAACATTCTTATGTCTATCGTCTTTATAACTTGAAATATTCGTATATCTATCGTCTATATAACGTGAAACATTTGTATATTTATCGTCTATATAACGTGAAACATTCTTATATCTATCGTCTATATAACGTGAAACATTATTATATCTATCGTCTTTATAACGTGAAACATTCTTATGTCTATCGTCTATATAACGTGAAACATTATTATGTATATCGTCTATATAACGAGAAACATTCTTATATCTCTCGTCTTTATAACGTGAAACATTCTTATATCTCTCGTCTTTATAACGTGAAACATTCTTATATTTTTGGTCGTTATAACGTGAAACATTATTATATCTATCGTCTATATAACGTGAAACATTCTTATATCTATCGTCTATATAACGTGAAACATTATTATATCTATCGTCTATATAACGTGAAACATTATTATATCTATCGTCTATATAACGTGAAACATTTTTATATCTATCGTCTTTATAACGTGAAACATTCTTATATCTATCGTCTATATAACGTGAAACATTATTATGTCTATCGTCTATATAACGAGAAACATTCTTATATCTCTCGTCTTTATAACGTGAAACATTCTTATATTTTTGGTCGTTATAACGTGAAACATTCTTATGTCTATCGTCTTTATAACGTGAAACATTCCTTTCTTTCTGTCGTCTCTGTTATATAAACATTCTCATTTCTATTTGTTCTATAACGTTAAACATACTTATATCTCTCGCATTTTTGTTACATGAAGCATTATCAATTTTCTATTCCCTTTGTTACGTTAAACATTCTATCTTTGTTGCGTCTGTAGCATAAAACATTCTCGTATTTCTATCGTTTCTATGAAGTGAAACATTCTACTATCTTAATTATTTCTGTAAAGTGAAACTTTCTGAATCTCCATCGGTCATTTGTATTTCTATTCTTTCTGTCACGTAAAATATTCTTATGTTTCTATGAATTCATCGATTCTGTTAATTGAAACATTCTATTTTATCGTTTAAGTAACATGAAATATTTTTTTCATCTGTATCGTTTCTTCAACGTGAAAGAACTCTTAAATCGTTTCTGTAAGGTCCACTTGAATTTAACTTTGACATTGTCAAGTACCTTGACATGTTTTTAGGAAAGATGATTGTATATGAGCTCGCTATCGAGTATCAAATGAGCTTTTTTTCTCTCTTCAAGTTCGTTATAATGAAACACCTTTAATTTTGAGTTAATCTAAGTTAGAATGCATCACGAAAGCTCAATGAGAATCGTACGCGTCGACGAAGACTTACGTACAGGATGGCAACTAACGACCGGGAAATTAAAATGGATATGAACCGTCTATTTTTTTAATTAAAGGTAACACATACCCCGTGTCTCCTACCTAATGACCCCATTACCGTCTATTCCATGTAATCTGGTTTATTATGTTGCAGTGAACGAAATACCCATCAAATCTTCACAATTTTACCTCGCGTGACATTTAACCTAGGAAACCAAGAAATTCCTTTTCAGACAAATAACCAGCTACTGGCGATCTCTCTATTTTGAAAGGTATAATCTTGTTTTTTATTTTACGTATTAAGCCATATTTTCACAAAACGGAATTTCTGTAAGATGTTTTAGTATTCTCTGATGAATAATAATGAGGTAGGAATTGATAAAATCGGTTGGATATTTCGTTCACAATCTTAAACATATTTGTAACTAAAATATTAAAGCGAGAACAAATTCTTGTCTTGCACTGAATTCCCACGTCTCCCCAGTAATACATCGCTTATTAACACTACGCTAATATACTACACAAGTGATTATGAAATAATTGTATGTGATTGTATGACATTTCCATAATGTAAATACAAGTTTCATGTTGGACAAGAAATCTTATTGTATCATTTCGTTATATATTTCCATTTAAATATCACATGACATTAGCTTTTTGTTGATTGTAAAGGTTGTTTTATCAATTTGTTGCTTTGTAATATTCAGACGAAATACATCATACCAGCTAGCTGCAATTTTGAAAGATCTTTCTATAAAACTGTAAAATTGAAAGGTAGATTTTATTTTTTTTTTTTTTTTGCTTATGCCATTTAAATTGAATGCTAACGTTATGTTGATGAATTGTCATTCGTAACATTTTTGATAAAACTAAATGAAAAGTAATACGATACGCATCTTGTCAAAAGCTGTATCAACCGGAAGTTCGACCACTGGAAGTGATACAAGTATTGCCCTGGGCACTGTTGTTGGGGCCGCCATTGGAGCCCTGTCCCTTCTTGTGCTGGTGGCTGTTGCTGCCTTCCTGGTGAAAAAGTTACAGGACCGGAAACGGAATAAGCAAGTAGATACCACGGACAACCTGGCACAAAAATTACCAACTCCAAAAGGTAAGATTATTTGGTTAGGTCGACACATGCAGTAAAACACAGGATACCAAATGTTAACATAAAGTTGACTTGAATTAATATACTTGTACTTTCTTTATTAAATTAACTAATTTATTTGAAGAATTCGATGCATTTTAAAAAAAACGCTTATTGTTTTAAATAATCGTCCGTTATTAAGCATAATTCAAGGATATACGCATATGCTTCTCTGTTGCAGCCCCAACAGCGACACACAACGTGTTTTTTGGCAAGTTGCCAAAGAAGACATCATTACCTCCCTTGTCAGGTAACATCTCGTCCCTGCCCGCCCTACCTGGAAATCTTCCGTCACTCACGCAAGCACTGCCCTCCTCAACAATGATGGCAGAGGTCACACCACATGTTACGCCAATGTCTACGTCACAAACACCGTCGACACCAGCCCTAAATTCTCCAGTGACGACACCATCCACGGCACATCCCACATCAATTTCACCTGACGTCACTCGTCCTCAGCTGGTCACTGAAATCACCTGCACTGATATTGCATTCTCCGATACTAACTGATATATGTATAAAAACCTAGTAGTAGTACATATATAACTGAAAGGTAAATATTTCTCCACTGATCAAAGTTTTGCAGTTAGGTTCGTTTAAGGCATTTTGCTTAGAAGAGATAGAAAACAATTCAACTGTATTGTTTTGTTTTATAAAACTACAGCAAATCCTTGATATTTCAAATATACAGTGTGAGGGGAGCAGTTCATTAACTCAAATATCACGTGAATATTTTCTTGAACACAGTGAGCACTATACACACAGTGTCCGGTTCCTTATTTAACTAGGTTCATTAACTGAACGTCAAAAGAAGTCTTAATCGGTAATACGGTAAGCGTACTTCTTTCAGCGCACTCAAATTCAAGCGCATTATCAAATTTTAACAGATTGGCGGATTGATGAATTGGAGCAACCGCACAAATGCAATAGATAATAATAATAAATATGGCGCAGTCATAGTTTAGCGCAATAATTCAAGCGTGGAATTAGCTAAAAGATTTGTACGTTTATTTTTTTGTTTTATTATTAAAAACAAGAGGCCCAATGGACCTGCATCGCTCACCTGTTATCAATCTCACACTTGTAACCTTAAAAGTGATCTAAAATAAAGCAACAGGCAAAATATCAGTGTTTATGACTAAAAGTCATTCAAAAGAACCTGGTAAAAGATTTCAAAACATTTGACCCCTGTGACCTTGAAAGTCCAACAAGGTCTTTACGTTGAATACATTGTATAACCCTTCATCTCAGCATGCAACTTGCCAAAAATCACCAACCCAGATCTTTTGCTTATTGAGATTAGGTAATTTAAAGATTTATACATATTTGACATATACATAATGTGACCATGAAAATGGGTCAAGGTCATTCAAATGAAAAAGCTTGATTGCCCTATATCCAAGCATTCTACTGGCCAAATAACAGCAATTTATACATCTTGGTTATCCAAAAGAAGTCGTTTAAAGATTATGAATATGTTTGATCCTTGTGACCTTGAACAAAGATCAATGTTATTCATTTTATAAATCTTGGTAGCCATTTATCCCAGCTTGTTGTGGTTAAATGTTACAATTCTTCACCTTTTGGGTATTCAAAAGAAGTTGTTTAAAGATTTTTTGGAGACAACTAAACCATGTGACCTTAAATATGGGCCAAGGTCATTTATTTGAATAATTTTCGTAGCCCTTCATCCCAACATACTACTGACCAAATGGCACCATTCCATTCAGAGGAAGTTGTTAACACATTTTAAACATAATTGACCCGTGACCTAATTAATTATGGGTCAATGTCATTTTTTTCAGACACTTGACCCATGTGACCTTGAATATAAGTGAAGGTCATTCATTTGAACAAACTTGGTGGCCCTTCATCCCGGCATTCTACTGGCCAAATATAATCAATCTGGTCCTTTGGGTTATTCAGAAGAAGTTGTTTAAAGTGTTTAACATATTTGATCCCAGCGTTAACGTTTTTGATTTACAAATGTCTTTAACTTCACTCAGAAGAAATGCCAAAATTGCATTATCATGTTTATACGTTCACATTTGCTCTGCATCCTTCCATGCAATACATTGAGAATACAAATGTTGTTAGGAGACTATAACAACATTTGCTATTGTAACGTCATCAATCTCTATTGTGACGTCATTAATTTTATTTTTGTCAACACTTGATCTGCTGTTCAAAATCGGTTCGAAATAACTAAATAAATCTACTCTATCAAAATGTTTATATAAAACATGAATATTTTAGCAAATATTGTTATGGTCCTATAACATACATTTCTATTCCTGACAAACTTACATAAAGCCCTATCGGACTTTATTTAGTTTGTCATCAATAGCAATGTGTGTCAAGTTTGTCATCAATAGCAATGTGTGTCAAGTTTGCCATCAATAGCAATGTGTGTCAAGTTTATCATCAGTAGCAATGTGTGCCATAGGACCATAACAACATTTGCTAAAACATTCATTGCTTAAGTATCTTTTAAAGGTACAATCACATGTGTGTGTCGTACTTTCATCTTGCTATATACATGTGGTAGACTCTGCTGGTGAATGTTTTAGTCCCCAGTAACCTTGGTAACCACAGTGGTCTCCTCTGAGTAGGACACGGTTCATAATATACAAATTTTACTTATAATTAGTTTGAAATTAATAAGTTCTCCTCAGAAAATTGAAGTTCATAATATCAAAGCGTTTTACGAACCTCCCCATCTGTTTCAACAGAAATTAAGACCAATTTAGATTTCCACCATTTTGGCCCCAAGCATCACCGATGAGTCAAAGAAGGACAAAGCAGCTGTATGAAGCAGTGCAATTCCTTTTGGCATATTGTATCTTTTACCAATTTTTAAAGATGCATGTGCGTCTCGTACTTTCCTTTTAAACTTCATTTAAAAAGAAGATAATTTCCCCTTTGTACAATCCTGTTTGAGTATAATCAACACGCTTACATATTTTGTCTTTAATTTTTTTTCTCTAACTTCATTTTAGTGTGGGTTAGAGCTTCTATTGTAATATCTACTATTTCAACTGAATTGTAACTTCTTTATACTGTTCTTACCAACGACCATACATGTACGTCCTAGAGGCTGACACTGCCATACTAGTCAGGATACGACGTGCAGTGATTTGGGCAATATTTTTGTATGGCTTCACACCAGGTTTTTTCCCTTGTCATACTTTTAAACCCAATAACGAAACTATGTAGCATTATTTCAAGGAAAATTATTATCACTATGGATATCATTGGAAATTCTATAATTACTTACCTTTATTAGACTCCGGTAACTTTCTCTCAGAACATTAAGAACGTTCATAAATGAAAGTTTATGTTGTTGCATATTTTATGCACGTGGAAAATTTAACGTCGTAAGCAGTTTTTTTTGTTTGGAATTGTTTGTGTGTTAATTATTTACTTACCTTGATGAACATTGCCTCAAACGCAATCTTAGATTGACTATAGTCGGAAAATAGGCAGTTGGTATAAAAGTATAACAAAGGTTTATCTTCCTCTCCTTTTTGTCAAAACAGTACAAAGCTAAGTAGATGATCAGATTCCGGTATTCATTATATTAAGACAGTTTAACAAATTAGTAATGCCTTGATTATGTATGATTTTACAGACGCTGAAATGCTTATGCTGCGATTACCAAATGCTCAGGACTTGAGGACGAAACCCGCGTTAAACTACTTCCGGCAGCAACAGTACAGCTGTTTGGATAACACCAGCAAAGCATCCAGTTCATAGTGGCACACTTTCCACCCCACTTTCCTACTACTGATATAACAAGTTATAAAGTAGAATGTATGGTGAGAATCGAGGGTTTTCAATGATAGTTCCAAATCTAAGTAAATGTGAATTGTCTCGGAATTTTTTTTAAACTTGTGAATATATAAAAAAAATACTTATCTAAGCAATTTCTAATGCAAAACAATGGTGATAGCTATAAATTGCGAAAAACATGGAGTAAAAGCAGGTGTAAACTACATAAAACTACGTATTTTTCACAATTTGTCGAAAAACTTAATATCAATAGTTCAGAAACATCTGAATATGTTACTTGAGATGGATTGGCGTTAGAATGACGCACATCTGTAGCAGTGCTTTACAATGCAACTTCTCACATTGTACTTTGGAAACTTTATAAGCTGTTGATAATGTCCAGAGAGCAGACCATGTAGTCACCAGGGTTCAAGAAGTTTTACGTCTGATTTAGTTCGGCCTGCTTATATCAACAACTTTAAACCATTATTTTTATTATCATTATTATCATTATTATCATTATATAACTTGAAATTTGATGAGATACATATATCTCATATACAAATATGTATATTGTATATTTATGTAGTTTGTTTTGAAATTTACGTATTTATTTAAAACTAAATGNCCCCCCGAAATTAACAAATAACGGAGATGATATTGAACTGCTTTTAATGCATAGACGTATTTGAAATGTTAGCAATACTTAATCAGTATCAATATTTCTAGTAAAAAACCCTTTATTATAGCGTTAGAGTGGTCATGTGGTGCAGTAGATAGCGCACTCTCCTTTCACAAAGACGGCATGGTTTCAATTCCCCGATAGTACATAAAACGTCACCTGCCTAGCAAAGTGGGTTTTCTTCGGGTTCTCAGATTTCATCACATTAAGACAATACCTACATGATTTTAGAAAATCAGGGCCAACAAGAATGATGTTTAATATTTGAAAAAATGTTTCATATTTGCCATAATTTAAATAAGAAATAAAAAGACTGTGTCTTGCTACCTGCCAAGTATAGCAAAGCAGCTTAGAGTGCTCCATTCCTGAAAAGTAATGGAGGGTTGGAGTATCGATCTCACGTCGGGTGTATTGTTCGGGGAACCCTGTGCAGTGCGAACACGTTATAGAGAAGCTTACGATAAAATGGTTTATTCAAATGGGTTTGTTATGACTTTTAGATAGATATGAAGCTATTTTATATTCCATTAGTATCATTAGTTGAAAAGAAGTTAAAATTGTCTTGTCATAGGTACATCCAGATAAATTAAAAATAAATAAATAATGTCATAGGTACATCCAGATAAATTAATAACAAAAAAATGTCATAGGTACATCCAGATAAATTAAAAATAAATAAATAATGTCATAAGTACATCCAGATAAATTAAAAATAAATAAATAATGTCATAGGTACATCCAGATAAATTAAAAATAAATAAATAATGTCATAGGTACATCCAGATAAATTAAAAATAAATAAATAATGTCATAGGTACATCCAGATAAATTAAAAATAAATAAATAATGTCATAGGTACATCCAGATAAATTAAAAATAAATAAATAATGTCATAGGTACATCCAGATAAATTAAAAATAAATAAATAATGTCATAAGTACATCCAGATAAATTAAAAATAAATAAATAATGTCATAGGTACATCCAGTTACGTTAATAAAAAAAAAATGTCATAGGTACATCCAGATAAATTAAAGATAAATAAATAATGTCATAG